TAGTGGGATTGACCGTCACCTTTTTAACGCCCCCGCGGCTGAAAGGGCGAGCATGTTTGGTGGGATTCGAACCCGCGACCCGCAGATTGCGAGTCGAGCGCCCTAGCCACCTGGCCATGCCGGGCCAAGTAGAAGTGGCAGTAATGATAGCATCACAGATCGAATATGCAAAAAGTATCAATTGTGATAAACTGTAATTATTTAAGATGAATAAATATGAGGTGGCAGAAGTGATATTGAGGCATCTTTTATGAACGAATAGTGAAAATGACCATCACATTATAATGCCCCACAGCTGGAAGGGCAAGCATGTTTGATGGGACGGGGGATTCGAACCCGCGACCCGCAGATTGTGAGTCGATGCTCTGGCTATGCCGGGCTCCCTGTTAAGTGACATTGGTAGAGCAAGTAGCAAGTGTGACTAGAAAGGATGGACAGGATAGCAAAGTAGTGTAATACGTCTGTAATATAGAGTACATAAAGTAAAGGTGATAAAAGATAAGCTTCTTGGAAAACTACAGAGATATAGTAGTGTCGACATAAAGAGCTTTCCAGTCATATGACTACCTGCCAGCAAAAAGTGTTCACACCATAACAATTGTACTAAATTATGTTGTTTGTTTGGCCCAATCGTACTGTTTTGTAAGTAACATATATTGCCTATGGCGTGAACGCATTTCGCTTGCGGGGCGTAATTATAGTAAGTTATATTTATCCTAAGAAAATAGTATTAGGCTCATTGTATTTGAACCCTATGATTTTTCCAAGAAGAAGAGTGTACAGTAGTATTTCAACATAAGGATACAACATAATAGTGGATACGTCTTTCACTTTTTCACTTTGCATAACAGTGAATACGTCTTTCACTTTTTCAAAAAGTAAGAGGTTATTAATTTTCAAGAAAGGTTACTTAACCAGTCCCCCCCCCCCCCCAATGGAATAGCGGTAAGTTTAGGGACTTACAATGCTAAAAGGCGGTGGACAAACCATATAACCTAATGTGGTTTTTCTCTAAAACAAACAAATAAAATATTAAATTACATTATACGACAGGTTCTTGTAAAGAAATGTTTTCTTTCGCAGAACGTATAGCAGTCTCTTATACAAATAACTGAAAAGCTGTCGTCTAAAACCCGTAGCTGGGGGCTTCAACAAAGTATAGATATCAGAAGAGTTGAATCTAGGAAATCTGAACGTTACCTTCACCAAATATTACATAGTATAGTGAAAAATAAGACTACCCTTTGAGATAGAACAGTACTTTTAAAATGTGTTAACATGTTTGCTTATTATAATTGTGTATATAACACGAAAAATATCGATATATTATATAGCGGCATAGCGTACTATGTAACACAAAAACTCAATAAGGTATTAATTATAGTAAAAAAAAAAACTATCTTCGTTCAGTCCACCACAGATAATCGAACCCCGGTTTTTAGCGTTGTAAATCCGTAAACTTATCGGTGACCCATTGGGGGACCCCAAGGAAGAAGAACAGAGGTTGTAATGGAAGAATTGAAAACACATTAGTACTTTGGTTTAAACGAGATGTAAGTCAACTACTTCTCTTTGTACTTTCATACAATTGTTTTTTGTTTTGTTTTTTTGGTTTGGAGATTCTTTTAACCTTCACAAATGGGAGTTGCTATAGGCAACCGTATTGTACCCACATTATTTTCATGCACACTTTAAAAACGAAAACTCTCTCTGAAAGTTCTCCAACACTAGTATTTTATAAAATATATACAAATTCCATATTTTTCGTCTGGAGCACCGTAACAGAGCCAATATTTTACCGAGGTTAAATTTGGGTTTCAAACTATAACTTCCAATTATATATATATATGTGCGTGAATGAGTAAAGGAAGCCAAAAAAAAATCGAGGACACGATCTCGTTGTCCTCATAACTAGCTCCGGCCATGGTAATGACGCTCTCACTGATTTTTTTTTTTTTCATCAATGTATTTCACCCAAATATTAAGTTTACCGTGAACACCTCAGTAGAAGCAGGACAGCTGCTGTTCCTGGACATTCAGTTCATTCTGAGCTCTGATGGTTTCCTGAAATACGAGTTGTACACGAAACCTCCACACCTTTTAAACTGGGATTCTGTACATCCGGTTTCAACAAATCAGTAGGTTGTTTACTTGGAATTGTTGGCTTTGATAACATTATCAAACAAAGGAATATAGATACAATTAAACAACAGCTGAGCAACCCGCACCATTAACAAAGCGAAAAATAAATGTGAAAAAAATATATTGCCCCAAAATCTTGATTTACTTTTCACTACCGTTTGTCAATGACAAACTAATTATTAAGAGTTAAAAAGTACTGAAATGCAGTGGATTTAATGAGAGTTTTGCAGAAAAGTCAGGAATTTCCCTTAAAACACTTGGAAAAAATCAGCGTTTTACCCTTCCCCATGTCCTGGCAAAGACTGTATAGGTTGCACTTCAAGGCAGGATGGTAAATGCACGTAAAAAAAAACAAACAAACTAGTTTACAGACTACGCTGTACATTAAGTGGACACATTTATATCAGAGAATAAAAAAATGGTGGGTTGGGGGTGGATGAATGTTAACCAACAAATGTTGACACCATAAAGACTAACAAATGGCTTATATAATTAACATTGCGACCACCATGTTTGTTGTATTCCAGCTGGCGTGAAGAGTTTATATTATTGAGCGAAACGCGTCATCGGCAATAAATATGGCGGACTTAGTGTGATTGAAGTACTATTACACAAACTTATTCTTGAAAAGACCATAAGAGATCGAATAAATAATGTAGTGTTTAAAGATATAACTGTCCTAATACTACTATCTCATTAGAAACATAATTGAACATATATGGTCTGTTTGGCTAATTCATAACGTTGTGTAACTAATATATGTATGTCATATGTTTGTTATTCAGCGTGAACTGTGATATTACACATAAATTCGTGCCGTTTCTGCTTTTTCCAAACGTCTTTGTATTATAATTAAGTAGATGTACAATTTGACTCATTTTTTGAGTGGCAAATTACATATCCAGCTCTGCCCTTGGTGTAAGCCCGACAGATCCGGTTAATGTCTACAAGTAAAAGTCAACTTTCAGTCCATAATGGTTTTTTATGTTTATGTAATGCACTTTAATTGTCTTACCTTAAACGTTTTGCAGGTTGTTTTAAGTAGACTGCACCTCACCGTCTATTTTATCTTGAAAACGCGGAAAACACACGAACAAATTTGCTAAAAATGAGCAAAATCTCTGCGAGGATTGCAAGTAGCCTTCATTCTCCAGGAACCAAGATTTGACAAACGTGTTATTAGTTTTATCATTTCACTGGTGAATTATTCTCTACAATCACTAGGTTAGAATCTAGGAGGTTTGTAATTAAGCACAAAGCTATACAATGGGCTATCTGGGCTCTGCCCACCACGGGTATCGAAACCCGGATTCTAGCGTTGTAAGTCCGCAGACATACCGCTGTACCAATGTGGGGCAATCTAGGAGGCAAGGGACAACTAATAAGTTCGAAATGAAGAAACGACGTAGTGCTGTAAGACGCTGCATCTATTTTGATAGCTTTATCTTCCATTTACGGGTTTCTTTGTTTGTTTGTAGTTAAGCACACACAAAACTACACAATGGGCTATCTGTGCTCTGCCCACCACGGGTATCGAAACCCGATTTCTAGCGTTGTAAGTCCGCAGACATACCACTCTGCCACGGGGGGTGTTACGGTTCGAATCCCATTTCAGGTGGAATCTTATTTTGGATAAAATTTAAAAGTTAAAACAAAAATGATAAAATATATTCTAAAAGTATTAAAACAGCCAAGTTAGAATAAAGGGTTCGTTTGTTTGTTATGGATTTCACGCAAAACTACACGTGGGCTATCTGCGTTAGCCGTCCCTAATTTAGCAATGTAAGACTAGAGGGAAGGCAGCTAGTTATCACCACCCACCACTAACTCTTGGGCTACTCTTTTACCAACGAATAGTGGAATTGACCGTCACATTATAACGCCCCCACGGCTGAAAGGGCGAGTATGTTTGGCGTGACGGGGATTCGAACCCGCGACCCTCAGATTGCGAGTCGAGCGCCCTAACCATACAATAAAGGGATCAGTCATGTAAGTCATATAGAAAATAAGATAGACAAGTTATATAAAAGGGTAAACCCTGTAAAGATCTAACGTAAAAGTGGCTAAGTTTAGCAAAAACAAAGGGGGGGGGGGTATATTCTTGTTTGCTTTTTTATTTTCATGTTGCTGCTTGTTACACTTACAATAAAAAACGACTTACTCACTTTTACATCTTTACAGGGTTTGCCCTTCTATAAATATATATATATATTTGATATTACAACTTTATACGGATGATCCCTTTATTCTAACTTGGCTTTTTTTGTACATGTAAAATGTTTTGATTGGATAAAATATTTGTGAACTGCCATTACTATGTGTTTAAGCTGTCTCATAAATTGACTTACTTTGTTTTCCTTTCTTTTCTAGCTGATTGCCATAATATGTTTTGGATGTGGATCTCCAGCAATCACCAGCTACAGTCGTTTCTTCCTGTTTGTCATCTCCATTTGTTTCATTTTCACCATCTTCCTTGTCTTTATTTATCTCATGGGACTTCAGGCTCTTCTGCCTAATTTCCCCTGGTTATTTGCAGTAAGTAAATTTTTTAAAAAATGAAAAGAACTGAAAAAACGAATTCCAATTTCTTGTTCTTGTTTTTCTTATTATTATACAAACGAAAGATATATCAAAGTGTATAGTTTATCAACTGGATAAACTTTTTTCTTGTGCCAGTAATCACCAAAGAACAATTTATTGTATCACTTTAAAAACCTAACGTCATGAATCATTCTTTATATAAAAACAATGCCATCATTGATTTATATCTTATATATCTATCATTTTTGGTTCATCTACTACACAACATCTATCATCACTGATCCACCTCTAATGCAAAATAGTTTGTAATTACTTTTATGTTGATATTCCAGAAACGTTTAGCAAAGTTCTGAAAACCCAGATAGAGATTTATATTATCCCAAATTTTATACGTTCTTGTTCGATGGACGACAAAAGTCAAGGATGGCTCAAAGTTGGTCCAAAACAGAGAGGGCGCGGGTAGAGTTTCTTGACAATATTGATCCAACAAGGACACCGTGAGATTCCATGTTTGGCATTTACAGTGTTTCCCGTAACAAAAACAAAATGTGCAGAGAGTAGCCCTAAAAACTGGGATAAGGCATTCTCTTTGATCGCCGGTTTTATTTAGTGTTTTTTATGTTTTGAAAATAATTAACAAAGAAAAAGAATAAAAGTGAAGCAGTTACTTAAGCTCAAGCTGACTTGCTTAGACAATTTCAAGAGTTAGTACGGCTTAATATTCGGGAGTTCAAAACAATTTTAAGATGTAAACAAATTCAGTGGGTAATGAGAAGAAAGACATCTCCGAGATTAGGTTGGTTTTCAATTTCGTGCAAAGCTACATGAGGGATATCTGCGCTGGCCGTCCCTAATTTAGCAGTGAAACATTAAACGGAAGGTAGCTAGTCATCACCTCCCACCGTCAACTCTTAGGCTATTCTTTTATCAACGAATAGTGGGAATGACCGTCACATTATAATGCCCCATTATAACGCCCCCACGGCTGAAAGGGCGAGCATATTTGGTGAGACGGGGATTCAAACCCGCGTCCCTCAGATTGCGAGTCGAGCGCCCTAACCACCTGGCCATGTCAAACCCATCTCCGAACTGTGTTTTAGCACTATACGCTGTAATTTGACCTAAAAATAATTTCATATAGATTTTGTAAGATAGCGGGTTTTTGTACCTTTTTTTTATATATATAGAATAGCTAAACGTCAAGAAGAATAAAACAAGTATTATAATATTAAATGGCGTTATATCAGACTGTTTTCATTTGAACTGAAACAGATACAATAGAATTTGCCAAAGTTTTAAACTAATCGTGAACTATAAAAACTAAGATACGTATAAGGTCGCTTAAACCGCAAATATCGTATCTGTTTGTTTGGTACTGGATTCACATGTTTCTTATCATCAACATAAACAGTATGACGACTAAACGGCCACGTCAAGATACCCCAAGGTTCAGAGTTAGTGACGAGAGAGAAAGAGCAACCAGTCAAAAGCACATGCCGTCTACGTGGCTCTTTTCAGCAAGTAGCGAGATTGACGATCTCTTGAATGATGCACTCACAGTCTGAAAGTGCGACGCGTGTTCAACGGCATTTTTCATCTCGAACCTTGAGCCTTCCGATACGTAGCCTGGCATGCTAATCAATAGGCCATGTCCAATCCGACAAAGTACTCAGACTGAAGAACTGAAATTTATAATTTTTTTAAAGTGTTCAAGTCTAAAATCATATTTTTGTTTAGGAACCATTTCCTTCAATACACTTAACATTTAAAGCTTTACACCATGACTACGTATAAGATTCAGATTAATTCATTTTGCTTAATTTAGGGGCTTATTTCATGAACTTTAACCTTCTTGCACGCGCCAAGACCGAGAACTTTCCAGTCAGAAGTTTTAACAAGTATTTTTAGCTGCGGTATAGTGGGTCGTAGAACGGCTCTGAGTGTTTTTGTTTTGATTTGAGATATAATTACAGTTTTGGACTCAGAAGATCAAACCCTTTCGATTGATGTATTTGACCACGCTCAAGATCTCAAAGATTAATTTACTCTAATCTTGCCTAAAAGAATTTCTACTTCAGAGTAGGCTAGTAGATATTCCGATGAGTAATAAAATTGAATCGGATATACACTCGCCCCACGCTTGGTATTGCTGGCGCACAAAAATATAGCTAATAAAAAGGTGAAAAAAAGGTTTCATAGATTAATTTTCTCTAATCCTGCCTAAAAGAATTTCAAGTGCCGCGGCTATTGAGGATTCCCTCTTGTTTTTCAAGTACAAACTTTTAGCTCATAGCCCTATCTATTGACCGATTTGAGGCTCTAATTACAGCCGTGACTATTGAGGATTCCCTCTTGCTATAATTCAGCTGACGATTATGATGTTAATCAATAATAATAAATCACTTCATAAACACATACATAATAAAATTGGTGGTTAACCCTAATCAATATTTAACACTATAGTATGATTACTTACTCCATTACGGATTTAGAATCAGAACTGTGCAAGGAAATGTTTGCAGTCAAGTATGATTTCAGTCACTTTTGTGAAACCTAATAAGCTTCACTGCTCCACCATCTTAGGTGTTTAGCATATTCGTCTTTTGTGAACACATATCCTTTTCGAAGTGCATGTTTTTGTCATCAGTTATTTAAATGTCGTGACTCCGCTGAACTCCTATAGCTCGAAGCTTGCGGTTCTTAGCTGATTATAGTATAATTTTTGATATTCGCTGTAAGCTATTATTGTGTTCGTAATTTGCATCCTGTTGTTGCAGAAACGCACTCAACACTTAGGGGCCTTGGTTGCGCTACTAGTGTGACAGTCAAATCCCACTATTTGGTCAGGTAAGAGTAGCCCAAGAGTTGGCAGTGAGTGCTGTTGACTCGATGTCTTTTCTCTATTTATCAGTTTAATATTACGGACGGCTATACGTCGATAGTCCTTTGTGTAGCTTTGCGTGAAAATTCTGAAACAAACGTGTTCGTCGTGACATTTTCCCATGTTTATTCTGGGTTAAGTAAATGTTACTTATATATCTGTGTGTATATTCAGAAAGGTCTTTCATATTTTCAGCCATAGGATTCAGATATAGCTGTCCCTAGTTTTGAACTGCTGACCAAAGGGAAAGCAGTAGTCAGAAGTATCCGCCGCCACAAAGGCTTTGAACTAAATAATGGAATTGGCTGTCACTCTCATCATACACCCACAACTGAAACTGCAGAGCGTGTTCAGTGGCGTCGGGACGCTAACTTTGGACCTTTCGATACGTAGCTAGACTCGGTAACTATTTGGCCAAACCCGACCATTAAAAAAAATGCCTGGGTTAATCTCAAATACCAAACAATATAAATTTATTAGAAATCAGTGTTTTTACTTCAATGGCAGCAACTGTTTTTAGTGATTTTCTCCAGGTTTCATTTTCCTTATATTTATCAAAGGTGATTGGTTAAAAATGCAGTTGTGTCTCGTATCAATATTTCTAACGGAGTTGAACTTTTTCTGGAAAATTCAAGTTTTGCAGAATTGGACATTTCTTTAATATGAGGTTTGGGTCCGTTTTACTTCACCATATAGTAACCTAAATTAATTTAGTTATGTAAATACAATGGACATTTCTTTATTGTGGATTTAGATGTTCTGCTGTTTACCATTACAAGTGATCTTTATTATTTTTTCCCTATTTTTAGGAGCTCATCTACACGGCCATCGCCACGGCTCTTTACATAATAGCTGCTATAGTGGAGCTCGTGATGACATCAGATCCCAAGTTTGAATTTCTTCGTTTTATCGGGTATTACCGCCCGTACATTGCTGCTGGGGTAATAACTTGAATTCTTAATGTATTTTAATGTTTTTATGGTTAAAATTACGTTACTTGAACTCTTGTTATTGAGAAAAACTCGCCATTATGGTTGAAATTCAAAGTCAGCCTTGCCACAGTCGTCAACTTTTCCATTTTCTCAAATACATTTGTTTTGATTTAGCTAGCTTTCAAATCTTTTCAGTTTGGGTAGTGTCTAAGTATTCTGTAGCTAAGGCAATGTTTAAAAGAGTTAATTTCATTAAGGACTTAAAATGACTCAAGCCACCATAAGAATTAAAGTTCAGCCGGATAGAAATGTAGCGACTGTAGGTAATCTGGAACATGTTCTACATTGCACATAATATCAAAAAGACACTTGGTACATACCAGGTTTATGGCAACATGCTCCAAAGTTTGGCTTTTAGAGAAAAGGTATAAGCAACACGACATTACTTGAGATGGGGTATGGTATCAATACTTGTTGGTAATGTGGATGTGGAGACGTTAATTTGTGACAAGTTTTAACTGTGTACTCCATGGAGAACTCATGGGGTATAGTATCAATACTTGTTGGTAATGTGGATGTGGAGATGTTAATTTGTGACAAGTTTTAACTGTGTACTCCGTGGAGAACTTGTGAGGTATAGTATCAATACTTGTTGGTAATGTGAATGTGGAGACGTTAATTTGTGACAAGTTTTAACTGGGTACTCCGTGGAGAACTTGTGGGGTATAGTATCAATACTTGTTGGTAATGTGAATGTGGAGACGTTAATTTGTGACATGTTTTAACTGTGTACTCCATGGAGAACTTGATCTTCCTTAACTTTGAAGGTACAAAGGCTCTGTGGAAATGGCGAAACACGGTAGAAGATACGCAACACAAACTATTAACCACCACATGTGGCCTTAAAATCTGCTACCTCTATAACTCCTATCAGTTGGTCTGTAAGCTCGACATGGACATCAAAACTCTACTCACTCTGGAACTCCTATCCATTAGTTACTAATCACTACATGTGGGATTAAAAATCTACTCCTTCTGGATCTTCTATGAGTTAGTCTCGAATCGTAGCACGTGGCTTCAAAAGCTTCTAGAGTTCCTATCAGTTGGTCACCCAATAAGTACTTGGTGTCACTCAAGGGCAAGTTCATGTTACATCTGTTGTATGGAACCTAGAAGTCTAACATAATCAGGATACGTATTCCTGCCCTCCATCTATAGATTCTGCGAAACAGGAACTTGGTACATCTCATCAAGACTGGGATTCTGCTGACGAGGGAGATACACGTGGTAGTGGTGACTAAATGAAATAAACACTGTTTGATTTTGTCCTCTAATGTTCAATATCTTGAGAATTGTGACATGGGAAGGATGTAGTATTTTCATAAACAGTTATCTTATCAATCATTAAATTAATATAAATTTTCATGAAAATATGATATGAGCATGTTTAAGGCTTACTGACACCAATTCTTTTGTCAAATGATAGATTTTCCTAATAAATAACTATTTATTTTACATGTTATGAATTACTATATCTAACATAGATATGTTTTCGGTTATTAACTTTAGTTTAATCCGTAAGTGTTTAATAGCCAAGTCAACTTTATAGAAGGCCAGTTTTGTGCATGAATAACAATTGTGTTTTGGTATGTTATACATATTTAAATATTTCAAGTATCACGAATGTCATTTTACTGATATTATAATGCAAAGGACTCGGTGAATTTGTGTAGTAAGGTTTAAAAAAGTAAACGATTTTCTTTCTTTGGATTAGTCATATCAAAGATATTCTGTGAATACAGGAATTCAAACGTTAAAGTGGAGTAACTGTAGTCTGAAATCTTTTTTACAAGATTTGGTGTAACTTTAATAATTTGAAATCTGTGGCTGGTACAAAACTTGAACTAAGTATACGTAATACCAGTTAATAAAGAAGTTTATATTTTAATGAATCTCTTGATAAGTAGGTGGTTATTGTTGTCGTAAAAGTGGTGGTAACTACAGGTTAAGAATTATTGTGAATACTTTTCTACTACAATCGTAACCTTCCTCATAATATATAATGACTGTAGTGTTATTGGAATTAAGTTTCGTTGTGTTGATGATGTTATTAATCTGTGGTTTTGTAGGTGTTTGGTTTATTCAACGTCTTAGCCTATGGCGGTGGACTCTTCTTTCTCCTTAAAGAATGGCGAGAATTGAGACAGACACCATAAGAAAACGAGACCTTATCGCGCCATCACGTCGAAAAGTTTTTACTGGAGGCAGAATTACGTGGTAGGACCTCTGTGTAGTTGATGTTTCAGAGGCTAAAGAATTCGCCTCCATATTTAAATAAATATTTTCAGAGACGTTTAAGTTTGTCCTGCTTGCAAAATGCGCACTGTCTTCAGAATAACTTAATTCGAGTATTATGTTAATAGTGGTTGTATTACAGTTTAGTCATTCGTAACGTTTAAGTTAAACTGCGTTAAAGAAAGCTATGTTAATTAATACATCAGATTCCAGGGTCTATCTATTTTTCTTTTTTCTCGATGGTTGATATCACTGTGATTTTAAAGTTATCAAAACTACGTCGTTTAAACAAGATTGTTTTCGTAATATTTATAATAAAAATTCAGAGGGTAGAATTTTAGAACTGTAGTTTAGCGCACTTAGAGGACGCCGTGCTCGTGAACAAACAACTTCTTATATTTTATGTTCTGTTATTTAATTCATAATCAGATTAATGTTTTTTTTATATTATGTACTTTCAACGAAAGCTGATATATGTGTGTATTGTTTTTGTTTATTTAACTTATATTCAGATTAATGTCCAATGAAAATGTGTTTTGTATTATCTACTTTCAACGAAAGCTGTATATGTAACGCATTCCTCTTATTTAGCGGCCTAACTTTGGTTTCGTAAGTGTGGGTGGTAGAGGAAGAGTTTCTGTAGCTTCTATTATATCAAAACAAGATATTCTATTTTTGAAAAAGTGCGGGGGACAAATCCCCCGTGAAAATTATGCCCATGGTTTCTCTCATAATCAGAATAATGTAAAATGGAAATGTTTTTTATATCACGTATTTTCATCGGAAGCCAACATATGTGTGCTGCCGTCGGTTACCTCAATAAATTCAATCATTTGTTTTCGATTTAGAATCATTAATTTTATACGTAATATTAGTATTTGTAAATATCTTGTCAAATCACGTACTACAATGAGTTAGGATCACAATATGTAAGGATGTGACAGTGTATAACATTCACCCAACAAAGGTTTGTTTATTGTTAGCACAAGGTTACACAATGGGCTATCTGTACTATGCCAACCACGGGTATCAAAAACCGATGTTTAGCGTTATAAACATTCAGTCTTACGGCCGAGCCACTGGGAGTGCTCAGCAAAGTATATATATATATATATATAAAAACATGGATTACTTAACTGTCAATGATTTTTTGAAGTATTTTTTTTCTTCTATAATCGTTTTAGTTTTATTTCTTTTTTTCCTACTCTTATTTAAGGTGGTGTTCGTAACTTAGCCAACTATTTTATCTAGAATATCAATATTCTTTCCAGACTATAAATAAGCTTTTTAAGAAAGATATATCAATACTAACACTAAAAATAATCAAATACAAATTTGGTTTTGATATGATTAATTATCAAAAATAGAAAAAAAAGTAATATCTTGGATAGTGAATCCACACATTTATGTAACTTATTTTTCAAACAAATATCGATTACTTGTATAAATAGCTATAATTTAGTTTCTACAAGTTATTTTGAACAATAATTTTTTGTTTAAGGATTACAAAGGTCACACCCTGTTTGGGAGATTCATGTCTAATTTGTTTTGTTGACAGAATCACAAGAAAATATAATTTAGTCTTTTAAATACTTAACAAACATTTATAATACTTTTAACCTTTAATTTGGGAAGTTTAGTTTTGCTCTGGGTATTTGTATTTATGGTAAAGCTATTAAGGCTATCTACCACTGTCCCTAACTTTGAACTACTGACCAGAGTGAAAGCAGCCAGTCGTTAGCACCCTACCATCCACACTAAGAGACTGACTGTCGTTCTTATAATGCACCCACAGCTTGAAGTTTGGAGAGTATTTATGGTATCGCACGGATTCGAACCCGGATCGCCAGCTCCGAAATCTAAAGCTTTTCCACATGGCGAATCTGCGCCCTTTGCTCAGGGAACATGGAGCGAAGAACATTTTTGTATTTTAGTCAGAATAAAGACTATATGTTACTTTGTAATAAACTTTTTACCATTCAGACTTGTTCATGGTAATCTCCCCTCAAGAAGCTCACCAATAAAACCTATATTATATTTTAAAGCAACCGATTTAAATCTATAAATAGTGGTTAAACTTCCTATAACTTTGAGAAAAACTTAATCTCAGACGTTTTTCATTTGTTTAGCAGAACTGGTAAAAAGCTCAGTTACTTTTTTTCAATAGCTAACTTATTCATGATCAATGTTGATCAAGATAGCATCTCCGAGAAAAGAAGTTTTACTAGCCAATGGAGTAGGCAATGATATTTTAGCCAGTGAAATAAATACACGAACATTATTTGTGGGCAATGATTTTCTAGAAACTTCTGACATTGTAGACGTTTCGGATCCACTCCGGAGCTTTCTCTGGCCTCAGTATAGAGTCCAAAACTTTGTAAGTGTAAGCAACGTCTAGGCAGTTACTGTCCGTAAAAACACCCTTATAATTACGACGCTTTTACGTCGAATTAAAACTTTACAATTAACTAAAGGCTGAATTGAATAGATCATATTTGTTTTTCATGGTAAATTTATATTATTTTACTGTGAAAGTAAAAGACCTGTTAGCAATTTATCCTATGACACTTCATTTACATGAACATTAGCTTGAAACAAAAGCCAATGATCTTGTGAACTGGAACGTCAAATATACACACATCATGAACAATTATAAAAATCCTATAATCCCTTTGAATCGCATTCGTACAGCTGATCTTGGGTGAGGGTTTAAAACCTTTCCATAAAAATTAAGACATGGATAAGATTACTTTCTGGTTTGAGATTTTACTGTTTGTCCCACATGAGGTTGACATAAGATTTTCACGTTATGTTAGGTTTATGATTGTACGATATAATTTCGAGGATTTTTGACTGGTTGTTGGAACAAAAGCCTGTATGTAACACACTGTTACTATATATATATATAAGGGTCTTATGGGCATTCTAATATTGTTGCTGTTGTAACTTGAAGTTTTTAATTTGTTTCTAAAGTAAATGTTTAAGTAACATTGTATATGCTAATGTTTTAAATAAAGTTTTCAACTAAGCCTTTGTTTTGTGATTATTTTATGTATCTCTTCCATGTTTCCTTGTTGTTCTAGCTAAGTTAACCTTAAACATAACTGGAATTCGTCCTATTTCAAATAAGAATTTTTTCCGAAGGGAACATGTGAAACACGTCTAATTTTATTAGTGTGAAGGTTAGTTATAGACTGAACTGAGATATGTTGCCTTTCTAGAATATCAAAAATGTCAAATTTCGACTTGAGTCAAGATAACGTTGAATGGTTAAAGCAAAACAAAAAGACGTGTGGAAATTTACAAAAACACTCCAGTTGAAATAGCATTTATAACTTCTTCATAACGAATCGCTACCACGCTGTAGGCCAAGTTTTGGAAGTTGTAGGTAACGAGGTTTCCCTTCCTAATATTCCTTTGTACGTTTTACAAGACCTTTCATTTGCAGAGTTTCTTATGTTTTCTTACATACATTTTGGAGAAAACAAAACTACTCAAAGAAGCTTAACCGGTTCTTTGTTGTTCTTAACAGAGAATGTTTATATTTACAGCATTACCGAAACAACTTAATTCTATTCACTTCAAGACGAAATCGTCTTATTCAAGCTTATAATACCTTTTCACAATTTTTAGACGGACCCTGAAACAAGTAGAATGACCAGATTAGCATAATAAAAATGAATAAACGCTTTTGTATTCGGTTTAGATAAGAGATTATATTTGTATCGGTATTTCCATCTAAGTTCTTCATCAAGTGAGGTAATGAATTTTGTCAAAAATAAATAATTTTTAACGAAAAGTTTCGAGTAAATATCTTTCATATTGTTGCGTCAGCGAGTCACGTGACCACTGTGGCGCCCTCTAGTTTCT